GAGGTGCTGCTTAGTGGGATGTGTTTGTGATTTGGGGCATATTTTGTTTGTTTTGTCTTTTCTTTCACTATTGTGCCATTAAATAAAGGGTTGGCAACACGAAGACTCAGGGATGTAATAAAAGGTGTCAGGAGGGGTAATTTGACTTTTTTTCTAGCATAGTTCCAAATGCTTTTCTAATTTTTATGTCATATAAGTCTTAATGGGTTATTTGGAACCTTAGATCTAAAATGGGAAAAAATCTGAAGTTCCAGCCTTTTTTAGCAGTTATGTTCATGCCAGAACCATGCCATTAATTTGTGAATGACAGATTCAGTAGTAAGGACTGAAGGCTTGAAGGAATTGGGGGGGGGGGCATTATTTAAATGGTATTAGGGATCAGCTATAAAGAACAGGTAAGAAGTTTTGTTTACAGTTTTTTGTTGTTGTTCTAACTTGCCTGTTGTGTTTTGTCAGTTTCATCTAATATTTCCATATTTTATCTATTCCTATTGGTAATTTCAGTGGTGGAACTGTATGTGTAGGTTTTGTGTGTGTTTGTGTGTGTGTTCGTGAGTGTGTGTGTGTGTGTGTGTGTATACAGATCATCAAATACTTGTAGAAAATAGATTGTTACAATATTCAGAAAACTTATTGTATTAATCAGTTTTTTTTAAAAAATTTGAAACATTTGTGGTTAGACCAAAATGAAGTAAATGATTGTTAGTTATTTGTTGTAATGTTAACATGGTAATTTATGCCCTGTAAATGAATATGAGACATTACTACTGGGAAACTGTATAATCTGCACAATAAATGCTGTGTAAGAAACAACCCTTCCTCCAAATAACTTTTTTGCTAGTTCACACTTCTGAGTAGTTGACTCTATAGGTGTGAAGATTCTGGAGACTGTATAATTTAGTGGTAAAACATTACAAAATAAGCTAAATTGCTGATAAAAGTTTTGCTTGTAAGCTTTCAGTTTTTCCTATCCTCTTGTTGACTGTTTTGGCAAGAATCATTGAAGATATGCTTTGGGGAGTCAATCTAGTGTAATTCTCTTTTCTCAAAAAAACTCAATGCTTTGCGATCTTAATCTAAACAAACAGAACTTGATCAATCTTTTCAGTTCTATGAGAACCTGTTACTGTGGTATATTCAGGAAAGGCTTCTAAAAATCAAACATCGGCTTTTTGTTAGGGTACTTAGTATATCTACTGTATGTCAAAGTGTCCTTCCTTTGTAGAAAGAAATTTTATGGCAATTTGAGGTCTTTTAGTGTCTAAGAGAACTAATATAGACTTAATATGTTCCACCAGTATTTTAAAATAAGTTAAATTCACCAAATCTGTATTATATATTATGTCGCAGGCATTTTGCTAGACTGAAGTATACAATGGATAAGACATTCATTCAGCAAATACTAAGTTCCTTCTATGAAAAATCTTTCAGAGCCTCCCTAAGGACATAGAGCTTATTTATGTTAAGGTTTAAAGATGAATAGGAGTCACCAAGGTAAATAATAGGATAGAGAAAAAATAATCTCTCGTATACCACGGTCAAAGTGTACTCTTAAGTTGAAAAAGAACATGGAGTGTTTGAGAAACCAAAAGGACCCCCAGAATAACTGAAGTAGAGGGAGGGAGAGGAGGAATAATGCCTTAAGATGAGATTGAAGAGACAAGAAGCCAGTTTTTGGAGATTCTACCTTCTGAGCTTTGGTTATTATTTTAGATATGCTTGTAAAGGTAATAGGAGGTCTTGTAATGGCTTAGGGAGTAAAATGACATAGCAGAATATATTTCTTACATTATCCTGATAGCTCTGTGGAGAATGGATTAGGATGGGTCAAGAGAAGAGGATAAGCTATAGACAAATCAACTAGGATGCTAGTTGAAGGTATCTCATCGACAATGAATTAGATTAAAATGGTAATAGAGAAGCAGGTGGGTTCAGCAGATACATATGAATTATAAATGACTAAGCTTGGTGATTTTTGAGATGTAAAATTAGGGAAGGATGATGTGGACTCTGATACGATTCCCAAGCTTCTGTCTAGGAAAACAGTAGTGCCATCCCCTGAATATGGGAAGAAGGCTTTATACAACCTACATATGTAATTTATGAGTGGAGACTAGCCTCCTATGGACATAATTTGCGAAAAAGGTTAAAGAAAAGGAGAAAGCACCCTGTTCTGTTAGAGAAGGCCTTTACATAGTACCTTTCATAAACCAAACTCATAAAATGGCAGAACTAAATTTTTATTGGCAACATTTTCATTTTGCTCTATCTAGCTACTTGAAACATAAAGCATCAAAACAAAATTAAAGTTTCCAGTGGGGACAGGGAGTTTTAATCTATGATAATAGAGATCTGGTGGATTTTGGATACTAGGGAATGTGGGAACAGGAAAAGAAACAAATTAAGCTTACAAACATTTTGGCAATTAGCTATGGTTAGGCTGTTCCCTGCTTCATGCTATGGTGGGAAGACTGTAGCTGTTATATAGAATCTCATAAATAAGGTCTTAAACCCCAAGTCTAGCACTTCTCAGGAAGTGACGGGTTACCTAGCTTTCTCTGCTGCAACATTAGAGATATCTGCTATTTCAAGGATTGAATGAGAAAATGAAAGGCATCTGGGAGCATGCCTTTCTCATACAAGGCAGTTCTTAGTTACTCTTTTACTTCTAACTTGATTTTTTCTTTTTTTAACCCAGCTTTTAGTGTCTAGAGAGACTAGACAAATGAGTGGACTAGAACAAATAGTTGATTTCTCATCTTTATTTAATGATTATTAATATTGAAACAGGTATTGAGTGTTTCATGTTTTAGAAATATTAGCCATGCTAACCCAGGTGATGCTAGGAGTGCTTTTAAAGGCACACAAAATAGCTTATACAAGATTAAAAGTGATAATGTTAAATGTAATCTAAGAAGGCCTTTCTACAGAAAAACGTTGGACCACATTTGACCAGTTAACATTTATTAGGCACTGTTTTAGTCCTGGACATGTATGAAAGGCTGACAACATGAACAGATAATTCTTATATACCACAGAAAGTTTTGTGCTATTGGAAATCACAGTTGTGCCAGGGAAATTTGACAGTATGTACCAAATGGTTTAAAAATGTATATCCAGGCCCTCCCTGGTGGCACAGCAGGTTAAAGCACAGCACTAAGAAGTGAAGGCTACTTCAGCATGAGTTCGATCCCTGCCCGGGAGGTGACAGACCTCTCCTGACCCGCCCACTGCTCCCCTCAGCAGTGTATTTTGTCGATCTGTCTGTTCTGTTCCCCACTCTGTCTCTGGTGAAGCCTCTCACCATTCCTGTGCCTCTATCCTGTACCCCAGTTCTGTATGCATAAATAAATCTTTAACATTAAAAAAAAAAAAGTATATCCTCTCTTACCCAGTTCTAGCAATATAACCTGAGGGATTTCAGTAAAATCTACTTTATAGTGTGAAAATTGGTAAATGTATAAATTTATACATTGATTTAATTGCTAATATTATAAATGGACATAACAGCGTCTTCATCGAGCACACAGATCTGTATGTGACAAGGAAAGTTATTCATGATACATTGCTTAGAGCAAAAAGTGGGTTACTAAAGACTTAAAAATTTCCTTTTTCAAGGAAAGCTTTATGGAATATTTTCTAGATTGCTTTGTGTATGCTTGCCTTGAAAAAAAATCGTTCTCATAGACATAATTATTGTCATAATCTGGAAATGGGGTGGGACTTTAAGTGAGCCAGTATTTTGCCAGATCTGTGTAATATATCTGAGACACAAGCAATTGGGATATATATATATTTGCTTTGTGACTTAGTGTATTATCAAGGTGCGTCATGTTTTAGTCAATTTTCACAAATATTTCCTGTGTGTTTCAAAGTAGTTCATTATTTTAGTTGTTGGGTACATGGTTTTTGTGTGTTTACTAATCTTCTCTAACTTTACTAATTACTTTGTCTGAGGCAAAATTTATTTAATGGTATGTTAAGAGTTTCCCATTATAGTAAACTTAACAGTTTCCCATAAATTCAGAAAGTTTTGCTTTACCTATATTGATGCTTTGCTTTGAGGTGCATACAGGTTTAGAATAGTTTACTTGGTAAATTCTTCCTTCCACCCCACCCCCCATTATATAATGACTCCTTTTGTCTCTAATGTTGCTTTTTTGCCTTAAAATAATCAAATAATCTATATTTTATGATAGTGTAGCTGGTATTAGTCTTCTAATTATGGGTATACTTTTTATATAATTAATTTTTATATAATTAGTTTTTTTAATCATGTTTTTAGTATGTCTCTTATAAACTGCACAGAAAAGGACTGTTTAGTTTGTTTTGTTTTTTTTTTGTCTTTTAACTGCTGTGTATTCTACTTAATTTATCATTACTGTTATATCTGTACTTATTTCTACTATTTTATTTATTTAACCTGTTTTATTCTCTGCTCTTTTTTCCTTCTTACCTGTCCTCTACTGCTTGGCACAGGTTTCTTTTTTTCACTACTCATTATATTTAAATTTTCAACATGTGCTTGAATTTGCAAAGTCTTGGCTTAAAAATCACTGTCTGTCTTCCATTCTTATGAACAATATAATGGCCTTGGAAAGTTGGAAAATCAGTACCAATTATTTATGCATACAGAACTGGGGTACAGGCCAGAGGTGTAGGGATGGTGAGAGGCTTCACCAGAGACAGAGTGGGAAGGTGAACAGGCAGATCGACAAAATACACTGCTGAGGGGAGCAGTGAGAGGTCAGGAGAGGTCTGCCACGCCATGTGGTCACCTCCGGGGCAGGGATCGAACTCATGCTGAAGTGGCATTAGCTTCTTAGTGCTGTGCTTTAACCTGGTGAGCTACCAGGGAGGGCCTTACTTCTGTTTTTAAATCATCCAAACTAGTTTTTATTGTTGATGCTGTTGCATTTACTTTTTACATAAACTTACATTGTTTTCCAATATCCAAGAAGATTGTGAATGCCTTAATCAATTTCCTCACTTTCTTTCAGATTTTCAGAAGAAACAACCAGACGATGATTCCACTCCAAGTACAAGTAACAGCCAGTCAGATTTGTTTTCTGAAGAGACCACCAGTGACAACAACAATACCTCTATAACTACGCCAACTCTTAGTCCCAGCCAGCAGCCGCTTCCGACAGAATTGAATGTAACTTCACCAAGTAAAGAGGAGTGTAAGTGCCAAGGTCTTTGGGAAATGATAAAGAAAGCAACCTAAGAATGAACTTCTTGGTAATGCCTCAACCCAGAAAAAAGATTACAGCTCTTTTAATTCAAGATTAAGTGTTCGTATACATGCCTAAAATAGCAAGTCAGAGAATAAGTTTCCACCTTTTTATAGAGCATAAGGTCTTCTTAGAATCTAGTCTTTTCTCACTGTCAAGATACATGAGGTTTTGAGCTAGCCCGGGGTAGTGGTTCTCAGCCTTGACTACAAATTAAAATCCATTATTTATTTTAAAACAGTTTAAATTTTAGCACTTTTCCATGAATCTAATTGGTCTGGGGGAACCCCAGGGAGCTGTTTTTTGTTTTAAAACTACTATGAATTGTAATGTGCTACAAGTGTTACTGAGGTGCTCTGGTCTAGGGAGCTTAGTCATGACTTCACAACCTTGAGTTGAAACCTTACCTGTGTCACTTAGTGTTTTAATGTTTTAACAGTGTATTTACATGATAGAACATGCAGTACTTGAAGGGAGGAGGAAATAGTTTGTTACTCTCCTGTAAGCTCTCTGTGATAGAATAATGTTATATAGATGTAATATAGAAGTCTGTTGATCATTTATTCTTTGTAATGTTAGAAGCATTTCCTTTAGGGCACAGCTACAATTGATGGCATTTATTAAATATTTTGGGACAGTATGACAGCAGCTTTTGCCTTTTAAATGCTTTACTTAACCCTTGGTGCTTCAAGTTAAATGATAATGTAGAAATCCTTGTAATAGGATAGGTAGGATGTTCTGTCTGTTAACTTTTGGAAAGATGAGGAGAGAAGAGATATTTATTTAAACCTGTCACCATGCTAGGTAAATTTGAGAATATGAAAGTGTAGGACAAAGTCCTGTAAAGGGCAGGGTAGTTCCTGTCCTCAAAAAGATTTACTATTTAGCAGGGGAAATTAAATACATTTGTTTTATCAGTGATTCTCAACCAGGAGTGATTTTATACTCCTCCTGCTCCCTATACCAGGATGCTACTTGCCATCCTGTAGTGCATAAGACAGCCCTCCACAGCAAAGATAATTCAGTCCAATGTGTTAGTTACACTGAGAAATCTGAGAAACCCTCATACATGCATGTATGTGCTCATTTTAGTGGTCTTTCTTATGTATTAAAGAGAGTTTCTATTGAAAAAGGGTGTTGGTTTATTGGAGAAAGTGGTGTTGAAGACAAGTGGCAAGGTGTGAAGAGACACTGTAGACAGAGTAGGATGAGCTATTCGAGAAGCTGCATGAAGTTCTACAGTGGTGAATGACTCCTTTAAGGCTATTTGTGGAGGACAAAACTGGAAAGGTAGTTATGGCTAGATCATAGAGGCCTGAATGCTCAGCTAAGAAATATGGATATTAGCCAATAATTGCATTTGTGAGCAGAGAAAGTAATATTACAGTTCTTGGAGAAATAACCTTGTAATAATAAAAATAGGAAAGATTAGACTAGAGTCACATTGGGGAGAATCTTTTTTTTAAAAGATTTATTTATTTATTCACATGGAACTGGGGTACAGGCCAGAGATGTGGAGGGTGAGAGGATTCACCAGAGACAGAGAGGGGAGCAGAACAGGCAGATCTACGAAGTACACTGCTGAGGGGAGCAGCGGGCGGGTCAGGAGAGGTCTGTCACACCATGTGGATCTCCTCTGGGGCAGGCGGGAATCGAACTCATGCGAAAGTGGCTTTAGCTTCTCAGTGCTGTGCTTTAACCCGCTGTGCCACCAGGGAGGGCCATGGGGAGAATGTTTTAAATACTGTAACTTATACTAGATGACCAGGGAAAAGTACAGAAATCACTTAAAAGGAGGAGGGGAAAAAAAGATGAAATGGTAATATTAAAGCAACATATTTAAGTATGGGGTCATGTACTTATTTAGGAGCTGCTGAAATTATGGGAACTTGTCTCAGGAAACTACACCATCTACTTTTACCCAAATTTGAATACAATTTTTCTAAAACTCACTATGGCTTTTAGGTTAATAACTGAATGCGAAAAGTTGGAACTGATTAGGTACCCATCTGATTGGAACCATACATTCCAGGTTGCTGCCACAAAAAAGGGAAGTAAGCATCCAGAATGTGCATGTACTGAGATAATAAGAGATACCACTTACTGAGCACTTTATGTGCAAGAAATTGTTCTATGTGTTTTCTTTTTTCCCCCTCATGGCAAGCCACAGAGATCCATGCTATCATTATCCCCATTTTGTAGATAAAGAAATACGCCCAAAGAGATAAAGTAATTTGGCTATGGTCACAAACTAGTGGATATTAGAACCATGATTTAAATTCAGACACTTTGCTTTAGAATTCATTAATTCACAATGTGGAATAGAATGCCATAGAGAGTAGAGATATTCTTGTTAAGATCTGTACTTTCTATTTCTGTAATTAAGGTATGTTGAAACTCAAATCATAATCAAAAGTTACCTTATTCATCATGAAACATACTTATAACAAGGATTGGAAGTAAAATTCAAATTACTGAAACATTTTCTCTGAAGGCATACCACTATGGGAAGCTGACCCATCACGGGTTTGTATAGCAGATGATGAAGCATGGACACAACCCAGTGGAGTTACAAGATGTGAATTCTTAATTGAGCCAGGTGATTGGAGCACTCTACAGCGATAGAGTCCTTATGTGTCCAGTGTAAGATTCCTTCTTCACTCATCTCCTTGGCTTAGATCTCTGAGCTCTGAAGTCTTTAGGGGACAACACTTTACTTAACTTGCCAGCCAACGTCGCTGTAGACTATCATAATATGTTTCTTTTTGATCTGCAGATACCTTCAATCTCATTTAGAATATCTAGTTCAGTTACCTTTCAATCCATTCTCTTATCTTTCTGATGATATCACTGAGAATCATTGTGAAAATCTTCAAGTTACACTCTCAGAATCTCTTTTCCTAATGCTTTTTGAGATCATTGCTGTAATCCATTTGAGTTTCTCCATTAGAGAAATAAAGAAATTTGCTAATCTGAGGTAATGATGATAACTTAAATGTTCAAATGGGTAATTTGAGTTGCAATTTAAGGCAGAAAAGCCAGGACTGGCTTTACCCATGTGGAGATTCTAGGGAAAGCCATAGTGATTAAATGACATTGCCAAGGGTTAAAGCAGAGAAAAGCAGGAGAACCTTGAGTAAAATTAGGAAAAGTAGGCAACATGAAGAGGTCAAAGAGGAAGACACCATTAGCAGGCAAAGTCACAAAAGCCAAAGAACAAATTTCAACTGATGTGTGGACTTTAATGATACCAACAAAAATGCTAGCTTACATTTATGAGATGTTTGCTATGTTCTGAGCACTCTTAGTTCTTTACACATACCAACAATTACTTTTTATAATACCCTGTGAAGTAGTTTCTTTTATTATACCCATTTCTATAGGTGAAGAAGTTGAAGCATAAACAGGGTTGGTAACTTCTGCCTTAAGTTACCCACACTGGCAGTGTAGCTGACATTTAGCCCACTAATTCAGCTCCAGAGTCTATGCTTTCAATCTCTATAGCATATTGTCACAGCATTGTGAAGATCCGCAGAAGCTGTAAACCAGCAGCATGCATTTGATTATGAGAATATTTGGTTGGTTACCTAAATAAATACGTGATTTCATTGGTTTGTATATTCATTTAGCAGTCTTTGCTGATTATAGTTTACTGTATGTTAAATACTAGGTTAAGTGCTGGATACAGAAATAAGATTAGCTCTCTACCCATTTTTCTTTTCAAATACATATGCCTCTGAGGTTCGAACATGTTCTCTCAGACAGGTACATAAAATTTTTAGGAAGAAGGGGAAACAGCAGCAGCAGGAGTGGTTAACATGCATGCCATTTACAAAAGCTTTCTCAAGTAGGTTTTGCTATCTCACATACATTGAAACTGTAGTAGGTTAAAATGTGTGCCTGGCTTGTGGGTGTGGGATATAAGGTTGAGAAAAAGAAGGTTTGTTAAGTCTGTCAAAGTAGATGAATTAATACATCAACATGAGATAAAGTGATTGCCTAGTAGCAGTGAAGACTCAGGTAGTTGGACAGACAGCTTGATTCATTGATACCATGCACAGTGTCTTCAGCTGTGAACTGCAAGAAGATGAAAGATGGAAAAAGCAACAGGGGTTACTTACATTGCTCTTCTGGTATTCTCAAGCAACCAGAATTTATCTCTTGGTTCTTTTTAGCTTCCCCAGGAGAGATGTGTAGTAGTTGTTGGGAAATGAATTTAGGATTCAAATCCAATTTTACATAATTTGTAAATTACACAGTAGTTAAGGGCCCATTGTTACTGTGTGAAACTGGAAAGACTGTGTTTTCTTGGTAGTGTATAAAAAAAAGGTTTTACTTTTCCATCTAGTAATCAAGAGGATGAGTATGGGCTATCTGCTTTCTACTTCTCATGTTAAATGACCTTGCAAACAGGTGGGGTAAGTGTCTCTGAATATACTTACGCTATTTTTGCAGATAAAGTAAGACTATTTGATAATAAGAGTGTGTAAAAGAGAGAAATGTATAAAATGTGTGTGAAAGAGAGTGTGTAAAAGAGACACATTTTTATGCAAAAGAACTTTTTAAACTACCTAACAAAGCCAAATAGAGCAGATATCCAAAATCTCCAGATGACACTTCTTTGTCTGAAAACATACACCTCTTTCTCTCCCATCTCCTATGTCTTTGGAGGAAACCATGAAACTGTAGTCTTTATAAACATTTTCAAAGCATAGAGTAAACAAAATTCAAATAATGCTTAAAAGACTTGTCAATACAGCATTTAAGTGCTACAATAATGCTAATAGCTAACACTTGCAGGCACTGTTCCAAGTACTTTTATCTGTAATAATCTGCTTCACGTTCTTAACTACCCTGTAAAGCAGTTACCATATCTTTTTGACAGATTTAGAAAAGGAGCGTAGGATGATTCTGCATGTTGCCCAAGATCACGGAGCAACCTGGTTCTC